TAAAAATATCAAAATATGCATGCGGACAAAATCATTTGCATATTTCGAAAAAAAAAATGTACATAAAAAAAAAAGATTAAAAAGAGTTAGAATGGGGAAGAAGGGTTTTTATTTTCTACGATAAAATTTTCTTTAGCTTCCATGAAAAGTTCCATTCAATATGATAATGGGATGTGCAGTGCCGAAGAAACAAAAGCAAACAAATTGCAAAATTGTAAGAGTAAAACTTTCGAAATAAATTAAAAATTTGCAATGGTACTTCTCATATAGTGAAAAAGTTCGCAGCGGTACTTCGCATCTAGTAAAAAATTACAATGGTACTTCTTATATGATATAAAAGCTCGCAATGGTACTGCTTATATGGCACAAAATTTTGCAATGGTACTTCTTTTACTGCACAAAAGTTCGCAATGGTATTTCTTGTACAGTGTAAAAATTACAATGGTACTTATATGGTATAAAAAGTTTGCAGTGGTACTACTCCTTATATAGCACAAAAATTTGTAATGGTAATTCTTGTGTAGGTAAAAATTATGATGGTGATTATATGGCATAAAAAGTTTGCAATGAACCCTTCTTCTATAGATAAAGTAAAAAGTTCGGCAAAAAGTCTGTTCAAAACATAATATATTGTTAATTTAGTAATTAATTTATTGATTTGTGTAGATGCTGTCAGATATTTTAATAATTCCTTCTAATAAATACTAAAAATATAAACATTGAATGAGAATGAAAATTTAAAGAAAAAGTGCACAAATGAAAAAAAAAATGCTTCCAATATCGAATTTGTTAATTACTTCAAAGTCAAAAAATAAAATTTTTCATTAGCCCTGTTTAAAAATAATCGATAACTTTTGATTGCTTATTACTATGAATGTCATAATCACAATAGTTTACATTAAAAAAAGCACTAAATTTCATCGTTGAAATTTTTTACTTTTAAAGCAATTTTACTTATAAATGATTTAAAAGCCGAAAAAGAGAATACATTACTGTAAACTATTATAATTATGCATATAATTTGCTTAATATAATTTTGATAAACATTTGAATTTTGCTTTAAAACTTTTTCGTCCCTTAGTTTAATGAATTTGTGTAATATCAGAGAGTGAACGCTAGCAAATTAGCTTCTAATCAAATCTGACAAAACAATGGCAGATAAATGTGTAAATTTTCATAGGGATCAATGATGCAGGAAAAAAAAATAGCACATGAATGATAAAAATATGTAAATGTTTTATGATTATGATAGATGAGATGGGAAGTGTGCTATGGCTTAACTAATAGCAAAAATGATTTGAAAGAAAATCTTACAATATGCAAGTTTCAAATAAACAAAAATTAGCTATTTAATAGAAATGAGTACAAATGAACCAGTGAAATATAATTTTAAAGAAAATGAAAAAATGTATTTCTGTATAAAATAATAAAAAAAAAAAATTGCCGCATTTCTATCTTGTTATGTTGTTTTTTTTCAACATTTCAAATCTAATAAAAAAAAAAAAATTTGAAATGTTGAAAATACTTTAATTAAACAATCCAATATCTTATCAACAAAAAGTAAAAGTAAAAGTAAAGGTAAATAAAATGGCGAAAAATGAGAGCAAGCGAGCAAAGAAATTAATTGAGTGAGAGAGAGAGAGAGAGAGAGAGAGAGAGGGAGAGAGAGAGGGACAAAACCGTCGCGCTGTTATTTCATTTCGCTCAACCAACGATAGAAGTGCTAAGAATTTTTTGAGCTATAAGATGGAAAAAGCTATGAAATAGCATTAAAAGATGATGATAGCCAATTTCTATCTCACAAACAATAATTTATGAGTTGTGTATATGTGTGTATGTGTGTTGTCGGTTTGATGTATAAAAAAGGGTGTACCGGGAGAAATTCGGGATTAGCAATTGTGAAATCGATCGGTAATGTCTTCCTCTTTTGCAAAAACCTTAACTGTCTATGCTTATTCTATCCCAAATTCAATCCCGAATAGCTATATGCTATGCTATGTCTATGCTTATTTCTATGCCTATGTCTATATGCCTATGCCTATGTTTATGCTTATAATTGTCAAGCTAACACATTCCATTTTTATTTTCACAACCTCATTGGCATTATTTTTTAAACTTAGAAAATACAGCCAGTATTTAATTTCAATTTAATAATAACAAAAAAAAAAAATCAAAAATTAATGCGAAGGAAATTCTTAATAAGAATCGATACATGCGAATGGTTATATTTCAATGCAATATTTGTTAATAACGAATGTAAGAAAAAAAAACAATTTATCTTTGCAAACAAATTACTATACAAATTATTATAGTAATCTTTGCAAACTGTCCGGAATTGTCAGCAAATCTTCTTCGCAAACTGTCCGGAATTGCCAGCAAATCTTCGCAAACTGTCCGGAATTGTCAGTAAATCTTCTTCGCAAACTGTCCCGAATTGTCAGCAATCTTCTT